CTGGAACGCGACAACCGCGAACCTCTGCAAGTCGGCGGCGAACGCGCTCCGGCTGCCCGGCCGCGTCGTCGCCGTCGCTGAACGAACCCCGGGCAATGCGAGCACGTGCTGCTCAGGGCCAGCCGATATGGTGCACCGCTGATGCCATGCATCGTGGGGAGTGGAGGGCTCGGGTGTGGGAATTACAGGCGCGCGAGCCGTTCGCTGGGGCGTCGCGGGGCGTACGTGATGGTGGATTCTCGTTGTCCGCGCGGCACGACGAACACGAGGCGACAAGGAGCCTGCACTGAACCGTTCACCTCTAACGACCGTCTTCATTCAGGGGGCGAAGGTGCAGACCTGCGATTAGCTGCTCACGCCGCCGCTTGCGGAAGAGACTCGACGTGAGGGAGCTCTGCACCACGGCACGCTGCCCTACTCCTGCACAATGTCCACACGTCTTGCAAGTGGTGGGAGGTTCACCCACGCGTTATCTCACCACGACGTGAGGCTGCCGATCAACTGACGGCGATGTTCGGCAGGGTAGGCGCAGTGGCAACACTCGCGTCTCACAGCGGTCGTGACCTGGGTGTGATCATGGACACGGGTACCTATCTGAGTGCGGTTTGCACGCTCTCCCCGTGTTCTGCGTGGGTTTACTCCGGGTGCTCCGGTTTCCTCCAATAGCTGAAACAAAACCCCATGCAATGTAACTGATGTTGGCCAAACATCCCAATGACGAAACATGACCTGAAAATGACTGAATCGGAATTGCAGAAACTTTGCACCCAATTGCGGAAACTTAACAGGACCCTCCTGAAAAAGAGGATTGAGACTCGGTGAGGCCCTCCTGGGTAAATAACCGAAATACATGATCATAATAATAATAATAGGTGATAGAGGTAGTGGCGGCTTAAGAAACATATCCAATGCGTTAACTTCCGAGCCGAGAGATCGAATGAAACCGACGACCTCTGGATGACAATTCCAGCGTGCTGACCATCACACCACGGGCAGCAGGATCCCTTCGGGGTGATTCATGTTCGGTTTTTTATATATATCGCTGCCCCCTCCACCCTCCCCCACTGAACTTGTCAGTTGCCAAATAAGTTCAATCATGAACGGGGTCCTGTGGAGCACTTGCCGTTAGCGTACAATACAATCTGTTGCGTGTTCTTAAGTTGTCGTAGTTGATGAATGAGCGATTAGGAAATGCCAGCACATTGCTGCACAATCGTGGCGGCCAACCCAGCGAGGGACGCGCAGGTCAGCCGCGATTCTTTGGTTCAAGACGGCGGCTGTTTAATTTGTGTAATGTTTAATAAATACAGGAATCCCATTGAACTCGCGTAGATCAAAAAAAAATATCTTCCAAGAATTGAGCGGTGCCAATTGTAAAGCAAAGCTGCACGGACGTTGATGGATAACGAGCGACGGTGCTCGGAGTGGACTCAATGCACGGGGCGAGGCGGAAACGCTCGCCCCGTGCATTTGATGTTGCGCCGAGGGGGTTTGAGCGATGGCAAATGTTTAGGCAGAGCTGCGAGTGTGCGGAGCCCCACACGGCCCCTATTTGCCGACCACACACGCGGGGCTTGGCGCCGAGGCCTCGTGTTGTGCTCAGGGCACAGATGCGTGACGCATTCTCAGCGCTTTGCAATCATCGCGTTTCCCATTCATTTGATTCACGTACCCCACGTCAGTTCACGCCAAGGGCATTTCCTTGATGATCTGGATTGGGTGCACTGGCACGCTGAAGGAAGAGCCCAGGAGGAAAAGGTTGCAGGCAACAGCAACATCAACAACAACATTCTAGCAAGAATCCAAATTGGAAGAGACCTGTTCAATGACGTGAAGAACGGGGGGCCCACATGCCGGAATGTAGATGAGAGAGCACGAGGTGGGAGAAGGTGGAGGGACCTTTAACCAAGAAACTGCCCTTAGAGAACTTGACAAGAAGATGAAGAAGAAGCGTTGGGAATGAGGCCTGAATTGCAGCGGCGACAGGAAAGCAATTATTCTCGGGAGATTTTTTTATTTGTTAAAATAAAAATTCAGTTTTACCATGTGTGTGTGTGTTTATAAAGAGTGAACAGTTTTGTTTATCTTGGATGCCCTGAATCTCCAAAAAAAATTAGGAAGTTTCTGTATTGGAAGGTGTGGCATGAGTTAAGTGTTTTTTTGTGTTGAATAAAACGCATGTATCAGGAGATAACGCTCCAGACTCCACGCATCCATCGGTCTGTACGACCGACTGCAAGCATCCGTGGCGTTGCTGGAAAGCTTCACCGAGAAAAATTCGACACAACAAGCACACCTCCGACGGACGGGGAATTAACATTTTTTAAAAATCACACAACGCGCTGGGTGTTTATTTGGGACTCTAATTATGTCCGTGGTGCAGACTTTATTTCAGAAACTCTGAAATGTAAATGCCCTTTTGTGTCAGCGTGGCTCGCCAGCTCAAGGGACGGCGTTGTCTTTGTGTGGCCACGCCGTGAGCTGCAGTTTCAGGGCGTCTGCCTGCACTGGTTTCCCCAGCATTGTCCTCTTGTTGAGACAGCTGCTGGCCTAGGATATCTGTCAAGTCTTCCCGAGACGTTAACGGTCCAAGATTTGGTCAATTGTGTAATAATGAGGTGGCTGTCCTGGGAAATTTGTAAGTCTTTCCAGAACATTGAATGTCCCGGTTTTTATCAGTGGTATAATGTTGCTACAATTGTGTGATAATACTGTAAGTTCGGGTTTTCTGGTGCCCATTTAATTGTCCTGCTTTGCAAAAGTTAAGCCCCACAGTTACAGCTTGGCGGACCCAAATTCTTTCGTAAAAAAAAAGAAACGTATCAGCCAACTTTTACAAAAAAAATCCTGACGTTCATTAAGGGGCCGCGTCTTTCAGAAACTTCATCTGCAATAGAACAACGACACTCGAGGCAATACCAGTACGCGCAACTCTCGTCTCTGGCGGTGCGTTGAGATGTCCTTCTGCCCGTGGTGCTTCCTCGTTCGTTGTGCGCCTCGGAGCGAGGAGTGCGGGGCTCCACGCAGACTGTGGAGGGAACGCGATGGTCGTGCTCGCGCGAAAACAAGAATGTTGTTTGTGAGGGCGTTGTTTGTGAGCCTTCTGTTGTTACTTTGTGATGAAGGCTGTCCGAGGCGGGGCATTTAATTTGTGGGTGACCTCTGACAGGGCACGCGGCTAGCCCGGTGTATCACATTGCCCTCCCTTCTTGAGTCCCCATTCATCCTGCCCTGACCGCGCGTTCACGCAGTGTCACGCCAACGCGACCCCCCGTTTCCGAACAAGCACCGAGCGACGATTTTCATCCGATCGTGGTTCTGCGGCACAGGCGAGATTTCCACATCCCTCTGGCGGCGCCCGTTCTGATAATTATAATAATCGCGGCTTTGCACGAACCGGGGGCTAACGAGGCGGTCAGTAGATGTCAGTGAAAGCAGTTTAGGTGGCAACGCTCTTCGTGCAGATGGTTTCTTGGTGGAGCGTCGACTCTGCTGGGAGATTGCGCGAGCGCTTTTCTCCGGGGAACTAAAACAATTGTCTCCCTCCGCACACGCGAAGTGTCCTTAAAACGAGCCGCAGTGAGGCTTCCCTGGCTGTATCAGGAGCTATCTTTTACGCACTCTTCACTTTACATCAAGTTGATTTGCAGCCTCGCTAGGCGGTGCTCGTTTTAGCAACCGCGCAGGTGACGGCGACGATGAGGATTGTCGTGCAAAGAAGCGTCACGCAGCGGAAGAGCGTGACCCGGAACGGGCCCGATCGGATCAGTGCTGGGAAGCTCCGAGTCCATCCCTCGGGGTTGTCCGCCGCTGCATCGTCACGCGGGGTCAGTGCAGGTTGGCGAAGACGGAGAGCGCAGGCGTGGAACAAGAGCGGTTCGCACAGCGATGGCTGTGCCGTCCACCACGTGGCTCCTGCATCGTCAGGCCTTCTAGCAACTGTTTCATGAGGTGGCGGTCGCCCATGCAAGCACGATCCAGGCTCAATACCCGCTTAGATTTTTTTTTGGCGAGGTCCGGCGCAGTTAGCGGGTGAATTGGTCGGAGGCAATTCTACAGAAGGGTCGTGGAAATAAAATTAAAAAAGTGAAGTTTCCCAGTTGCAAACGTCCAATGTCTACAATCCATCATTCACATCGGTGTCGTGATTGTACACGCGTGGAGGTCGGCGCTCGTCGCACCATAGCCGTGCCGTGATTTACTGCGAGATCCGACCATGTCCGTCCAGTGCCTCGGCGAGCTGCATTGGCTTCCCGTTGCCGAACGAATACATCGCAAGGTCGCATTCATTACACACACAAGGCGTTTGCCACAAACGAACCACAAAACCTCGCTGATCTCGCCATAAACCATCATCACGCGCACTCCGCTCATCCTCGCAGCAGCGGCTTTTGGCGAAGCCATCGAGTACAGACGGCGGTCACTGCCATCGCGCGATTTCAGATGCACGTCCGAGGCCGTCTGGAACGCTCTCCCTTCCGATATCAGGAAGCCAGTGGAGCGATGCACTTTTAAATCATTATCTATATTGACAAACTAATTTCTCTAGAACTGCTTTTTGTGTTTAGTTCGTTGTCCTCCGCCCGCACCTCCGATGATCACGGTTGGCTGCCTAAGGTGCGAACAAGTTCAACATACGCACACACACACGTACATTTAATTAGGCTGGCAGCACAGTTGGCCACTCTGACCAACCCTCCCTCGCTCGCTCGCACCCGCGCCACTTCGCCGGGCACCTCCTGCTCCCCCCTCTCCTCCCCCCTCCTCCCTCCCTCCTCCCTCCCCCTCCTCCCTCCTCCTCCCCCCCTCCTCCCTCGCCACTCCTCCTCCTCCTCCTTCCTCCTCCCCCTCCCCCCTCCTCCTCCCTCCTCCTCCTCCTCCCTCTCCCTCGTCCTCCCTCCTCCCTCCCCCTCCTCCTCCCCCTCCTCCTCCCACCTCCTCCCCCCTCCTCCTCCCCCCTCCTCCTCCCTCCTCCTCCCCCCCTCGCCGGGCGGCTTTAAGCGTCTCCTGAGTGCCCGAGAGCTCTCCGCGCGTGAAGAGGGAGCGCTCCCCCCCCGCCTCCACTTCCCTTGCCGGGGAGCGGCGACACGAAGAAGAAGAAGAGCATCAGAGAGCACCGAGAGACCAGGGGAGAGCTTCTGGACACAATGCGAGGCCCACACGCTGTGCAAACAGCCACAGAAACAGGGGGGGGGCGCTTTTAAATGAAGGATTTATAAATATATTTTCGACGGGAAGAGGCGAGAGAGGGGCGGGCGGCGGGGTTGGTGGAGGTTTAAAATCTTAACCTCTAATCTGAGAAGCCAGCCCGACTTGAAGAACAGCAACCGACCTTTGCTGTCGCCGTGGATTGCCGGACGATGTCTTGAACTTGCGCTGAGATTTACCGCATTGCTTCGTTGCGAGACGAGCGCGCGGGTCCATCGCACGGTAAGCGGAGTGACCACGCGGTGTTTGTGTGTTTGTGTTTGTGTGTGTGTGTTTGTGTGTGTTTGTGTGTGTTTGTGTGTGTGTTTGTGTGTGTGTGTGTTTGTGTGTGTGTTTGTGTGTGTGTGTTTGTATGTTTGTGTGTGTGTGTTTGTGTGTTTGTGTTTGTGTGTTTGTGTGTGTGTGTTTGTGTGTTTGTGTGTGTGTGTTTTTGTGTTTTTGTGTGTGTGTATGTGTGTGTTTGTGTGTGTGTGTTTGTGTGTTTACAGAAGAGGGGTGACCGCTCACGGCCAACACCAGTGATAAACATTATCTGAACCGGCCCTGGGCCTCCCGTTGGTTCGAATCGGTCTCAAATATTGAGTACCTGGCGCGGTGTGGTGAACGTCGCCACTCGGGGGAGACAAAGGCGGCCGGGCGTGGTGCTGAGCAACTCAGCCCCTCGCGTGCCGTGCCGGCCCTCATAGGTGCTTAGGTGCTCGCTAACAGCACTTGCCCTAACAGCCTGCGCAGGCTACACGGGGGATCTTTGTCTGTGTCGTTTATGAGTGGGGTGCTGCTGTAGCGGTAACGCTCTGCGCCGTGAACCCCGGCGAACCGAGTTGCATCCCCGGCCACGGCTACCGTCAGTGGCGCGTGATATCTGAACCCGTGCTATCGGGACTCCTGCACTTCACATCGTGATCAACGCGCAGTGGCAAGTGCGGTCAAGTACGATGAGACAATCAGCATGGCTGGATCTACAAAGGGCGCTAATGGTTGATTCATTTCTGCATATTGTGTGTACACGTATTGAAGTGTCAGCTGGTTGTTGCAATACATTAAATTAGTTGTGTTTTGGACACTAAGGCAGGAACAATGTGTTTAATTACTGCTCACTCATTCAACCCACGATCTTCTGCTGCATGACTCAACTCACACACGTACTCCCTACTCCCACACGTACTCCCTACTCCCACACGTACTCCCTACTCCCACGCGTACTCCCTACTCTCACACGTACTCTCTACTCCCACACGTACTCTCTACTCCCACACCTACTCCATACTCCCACACGTACTCTCTACTCCCACACGTACTCTCTACTCCCACACGTACTCTCTACTCCCACACGTACTCCCTACTCCCACACGTACTCTCTACTCCCACACGTACTCTCTACTCCCACAAGTACTCCCTACTCACACACGTACTCTCTACTCCCACACCTACTCTCTACTCCCACACGTACTCCCTACTCACACACGTACTCCATACTCCCACACGTACTCTCTTCTCCCACACGTACTCCCTACTCACACACGTACTCCCTACTCACACACGTACTCCCTACTCCCACACGTACTCTCTACTCCCACACGTACTCTCTACTCACACACGTACTCTCTTCTCCCACACGTACTCCCTACTCACACACGTACTCTCTACTCCCACACGTACTCCCTACTCCCACACGTACTCCCTACTCACACACGTACTCTCTACTCTCACACGTACTCCCTACTCACACACGTACTCCCTACTCCCACACGTACTCCCTACTCCCACACGTACTCCCTACTCCCACACGTACTCCCTACTCCCACACGTACTCTCTTCTCCCACACGTGCTCTCGTTCACATTCACGAGCCTCGCATTCGGAATTGAGCTCCTGAGTCGGCAGCCGTGGTTATGGTTGGTGGTTGTGGTCGGTGGTTGTGGTTGGTGCTTGTGGTCGGTGGTTGTGGTCGGTGGTTGTGGTTGGTGGTTGTAGTCGGTGGTTGTGGTTGGTGGTTGGTGGTTGTGGTAGTGGTTGTGGTAGTGGTTGGTGGTTGTGGTTGTGGTCGGTGGTTGTGGTTGGTGGTTGGTGGTTGTGGTTGGTGGTTGTGGTTGGTGGTTGTGGTCGGTGGTTGTGGTTGTGGTTGTGGTTGGTGGTTGGTGGTTATGGTTGGTGGTTGTGGTTGTGGTCGGTGGTTGTGGTTGGTGGTTGTGGTCGGTGGTTGTGGTTGGTGGTTGGTGGTTGTGGTAGTGGTTGGTGGTTGGTGGTTGTGGTCGGTGGTTGTGGTTGGTGGTTGTGGTTGGTGGTTATGGTTGGTGGTTGTGGTAGTGGTTGGTGGTTGTGGTTGTGGTCGGTGGTTGTGGTTGGTGGTTGGTGGTTGTGGTTGGTGGTTATGGTTGGTGGTTGTGGTTATGGTTGTGGTTGTGGTCGGTGGTTGGTGGTTGTGGTCGGTGGTTGTGGTTGGTGGTTGTGGTTGGTGGTTTGGTGGTTGTGGTCGGTGGTTGTGGTTGGTGGTTGTGGTTGGTGGTTGTGGTAGTGGTTGGTGACTGTGGTTGTGGTCGGTGGTTGTGGTTGGTAGTTGTGGTCGGTGGTTGGTGGTTGTGGTAGTGGTTGGTGGTTGTGGTTGGTGGTTGTGGTTGGTGGTTGTGGTTGGTGGTTGTGGTTGGTGGTTGTGGTTGGTGGTTGGTGGTTGTGGTTGGTGGTTGTGATTGGTGGTTATGGTTGGTGGTTGTGGTAGTGGTTGTGGTTGGTGGTTGTGGTTGGTGATTGTGGTTGGTGGCTGTGGTCGGTGGTTGTGGTTGTGGTTGGTGGTTGTGGTCGGTGGTTGTGGTTGGTGGTTGTGGTTATGGTTGGTGGTTGGTGGTTGTGGTCGGTGGTTGGTGGTTGTGGTTGGTGGTTATGGTTGGTGGTTGTGGTTGGTGGTTGTGGTTGTGGTCGGTGGTTGTGGTTGGTGGTTGTGGTTGGTTGTTGTGGTTGGTGGTTGTGGTAGTGGTAGTGGTTGGTGGTTGGTGGTTGTGGTTGGTGGTTGTGGTTGGTGGTTGTGGTTGGTGGTTGTGGTTGGTGGTTGATGGTTGTGGTTGGTGGTTGTGGTCGGTGGTTGTGGTTGGTGGTTGTGGTTGGTAGTTGTGGTTGGTGGTTGGTGGTTGTGGTTGTGGTCGGTGGTTGTGGTTGGTGGTTGGTGGTTGTGGTTGGTGGTTATGGTTGGTGGTTGTGGTTGTGGTCGGTGGTTGTGGTTGTGGTCGGTGGTTGTGGTTGGTGGTTGTGGTCGGTGGTTGGTGGTTGTGGTTGGTGGTTGTGGTTGGTGGTTGTGGTTGGTGGTTGGTGGTTGTGGTTGGTGGTTGTGGTCGGTGGTTGTGGTTGGTGATTGTGGTTGGTGGTTGTGGTTGGTGGTTGTGGTTGTGGTCGGTGGTTGTGGTTGGTGGTTGGTGGTTGTGGTTGGTGGTTATGGTTGGTGGTTGTGGTTATCGTTGGTGGTTGTGGTTGTGGTCGGTGGTTGGTGGTTGGTGGTTGGTGGTTGTGGTTGGTGGTTATGGTTGGTGGTTATGGTTGGTGGTTGTGGTAGTGGTTGGTGGTTGTGGTTGTGGTCGGTGGTTGTGGTTGGTGGTTGTGGTTGGTGGTTGTGGTAGTGGTTGGTGGTTGTGGTTGTGGTCGGTGGTTGGTGGTTGTGGTTGGTGGTTGTGGTTGGTGGTTGTGGTTAGTGGTTGTGGTAGTGGTTGGTGGTTGTGGTTGTGGTCGGTGGTTGTGGTTGGTGGTTGTGGTTGGTGGTTGTGGTTGGTGGTTGTGGTAGTGGTTGGTGGTTGGTGGTTGGTGGTTGTGGTCGGTGGTTGTGGTTGGTGGTTGTGGTTGGTGGTTGTGGTAGTGGTTGTGGTTGGTGGTTGTGGTTCGTGGTTGTGGTTGGTGGTTGGTGGTTGTGGTTGGTGGTTGGTGGTTGGTGGTTGTGGTCGGTGGTTGGTGGTTGTGGTTGGTGGTTGTGGTTGGTGGTTGTGGTTGGTGGTTGTGGTAGTGGTTGTAGTTGTTGTTGGTGGTTGTGGTAGTGGTTGGTGGTTGGTGGTTGTGGTAGTGGTTGGTGGTTGTGGTTGGTGGTTGGTGGTTGTGGTAGTGGTTGGTGGCGCCTTTGGACGCGAACACAAATGCAGGACTCTGTCTCCTCGTTGCCGTGTCGGTGACTGCCGACCTCGCTAGCCGGCCCATCCGTTGGAAGGTTCCAATCAAAGGAGGTAACAGCGATGCCCCGATTTACGTCCCCCCCCCCCTTATTTGAACGTCGTTTCGCAACTACGTCGTCACTTTGTTAAGACCGCTACCCCCGAGTTGCGTCGTCTCAACCCCACGCTCGCGTCCGTCGCCACTCAGCCTTCGCCTCCACCACCCACGCCGTAGCCTGTAAGTCGGCCTTGACCCGTTCAACACGTAGCAGGCTTTCGCGACCAATATCTTCCATAATAGACGGGGTTTTTTGTTGTTAGATCGCGTAATTGACGCCGTTTCGAGATTCGTCGTTGCGCATTTCAGGAACGCAACCCCCGACGTTAACCGGGGAGTGATTGCCGTACTGCGTTGGGCAACGTGAGTGCCGTGGGGGGCCGTCTCGCTGAGCGCATCGCCGCTGCGTTCTCAGTGGTGCACAATTCATGAATTAGTGGTGCACAATTGATGAATTAGTGGTGCACAATTCATGAATTAGTGGTGCACAATTGATGAATTAGTGGTGCACAATTCATGAATTAGTGGTGCACAATTCATGAATTAGTGGTGCACAAATCATGAATTAGTGGTGCACAATTCATGAATTGGTGGTGCAGAATTCATGAATTCGTGGTGCACAATTCATGAATTAGTGGTGCACAATTCATGAATTAGTGGTGCACAATTCATGAATTGGTGGTGCACAATTCATGAATTCGTGGTGCACAATTCATGAATTAGTGGTGCACAATTCATGAATTGGTGGTGCACAATTCATGAATTGGTGGTGCACAATTCATGAATTGGTGGTGCACAATTCATGAATTGGTGGTGCATAATTCATGAATTGGTGGTGCACAATTGATGAATTAGTGGTGCACAATTCATGAATTGGTGGTGCACAATTCATGAATTAGTGGTGCACAATTCATGAATTAGTGGTGCACAATTGATGAATTAGTGGTGCACAATTGATGAATTAGTGGTGCACAATTCATGAATTCGTGGTGCACACTTAATTAATTCATGGTGCACAATTAAGACCTGTACTCGACACATTTGTCACAATCGACACCGCGGCCTTGAAAGGGAACATAATTTTTTCATGTTTCTGATGGGCGACTTTTCGGGTGAGATGGCCCTTCTCCATAGCACATGCATCAATCCGTCGTGCTGTATATGAATTAATGTCTCAATAAGAGAATCGCAGCCTCCGGCAGGTTTGTGCATCTCTGTTTAATTCGTATTTTGTTCTGCCAACGGCTCCGCTCCGGAGAGTGAGCGACCCAAGCTAAGCTTTTGATGACAATTCTACTTTTTGGCGGGGATCAGGCGGGTGGGGGGGGGGGGGCGAGGGGGGGGGGGGCACGGCTACTATCCTGACAACCTAAACCATTCGCTTCATGAATTAGAACTTTTTATTTTCATCAAACTGCCGGGCGAGATATTTTTTGTTCGTAACTCTCAGAGCTCATCAAAGCCGAGGCACTGTGGCACCCATGCTGATATGACTCACTCAGTGCCCGGTGTCTCCCAGGACAAACAACTTCCACATTACTATGGCTGAGGACCGGTCTGTACGTACAAGAAATAACGCTAGTAATATTCATTTTAACTTACTCTTTTCGTGTTTATGGCAAGAAAAAAAATACTAAACTCTTTTTTTATTTTACCAGGTAAGGCCCACTGAGCTATACAGCAATTTTTCATAAACCAGCTGGCTATCACAAATGATAACTCATCGAAGTGGCTTATCGTCATGTGGAAATATATCGCAGCAGCCAAATACTCTAAACGCCGTAATATTGAATCTAAATGCGGAGGGAAAACCCGGAGTACCCAGAGATAAATCCACGCGACCACGGGGAGAGAGACACGCAGACTCCAAATACACAGCAGGTGTCAGGGTCGGGATCGAACCCACGACGTCCTGTATACCGGGCGAGGTAGTTAATATCTCCTAGCCACCGTGATGATAATGAGAGAGGGATCGAACCCACGACGTCCTGTATACCGGGCGAGGTAGTTAATATCTCCTAGCCACCGTGATGATAATGAGAGAGGGATCGAACCCACGACGTCCTGTATACCAGGCGAGGTAGTTAACATCTCCTAGCCACCGTGATGATGATGAGAGAGGGATCGAACCCACGACCTCCTGTACACCAGGCGAGGTAGTTAACATCTAGCCACCGCGGCGCCCCACGTGAACTTGTAACGCGCCACCGCGCAGGATTCGCACTCTCGCAGTCAGGCAGTGAGCTGGCAGACAACAATTGGCCAAGCTCTGGGGTGCTCTACATATGAAGGTGGTGTCGAGTGGGGAGCACCCAGAGCAACGGCCCCCTCTTCTGAGGGGGGCGTGATTTTATTTTATTTTTATTTTACCTACGTGACTTTACCGAAAACCCCAAAGAGTAGGCAACACATTCTCCGTACTCCGAATTCTCCTGGCAAGCCGGGGTCACGGTACCGCAGCGCCCACGGCTTTGTGAGTTGAGCGATCTGCGTGTGATCCACCAACCTCCTCCTCCACAGTGCCGCATCACGGCACGGGCCACGCTCACAGCCACCACCCCCCCCCCTCCCCCCGGTTCTTGACTGTCCAAGGAGTGCACCGCGTTGCACTTGTAAGGATCACTCGCCGTCAGCTGCTCTCTGTCCACTGCTGGATGAAGGCGATGCCACAATCCATCTCGCGGGCGTAGAGTAACTCATCTCACCGCTCCTCATCCGTGCTTTCTCCATCAGCTGCCGCTGCTGATCTCTCAGCTGTCTCGTCCATCTAGCGAGTGTGTGTCCTGCCCATACAGTCATTGTCTCTGACTTGCATTTGTCCCTCGATCCACGTGTTTCTCTTTCCACCTCTCCATGCTTCTTTGCGCATCTTACAGATGTCGTTCTCTAGTTTCTGGCCAACGTGTCACGAGAGCTGGCAGTGCAATACTTTAGATGCAAAAAAACAGAAAATCCATCTTTACGGCACTTTGGTAAGCTGAGTTTTTATTGTCAAGCTCTAAAAACGCATCATCGTCATCGGCCATGATCAATCCACTGCTGGATGAAGGACTCCCCAAGCTGCCATTATCCCTCGCGGTCCTGCGATGCGGTGGTTGTATCTGGCGGCAACACGCGAGTTCGTGTCACCGCTCCATCTCCTTCGGTGGACGTACTCTCTAATCAACCACCCTGATCAGACTCAGTGCTTCTTCCGTCTTGTAATGGTTCGCACGATGTGGACTTTGCGATCCAGAGGTCGCTGATTTGACCTCCTAGCACTGCGGCAGTTTCAACAATTGGTCTTTTTTTTTGTAACTACACCGCAGCCCGTCGGTCAGCAGGTAGCGTGTGGTCAGCTTCACGTGTGGGTCACTCCGCCTCATCCTAGACGCCAGCGTGGAAGACGAGGCCAATCTCGACGGGATGCAAGCCGCCGACGCTCCCTCTCGTGCCTGTATTCGTGCCTTTTACTCTGGCGACCGGGAGATCGATCAATTATAGTCGATGTTCGGTTGTCGCGTTGATGTCATTCGTCGTGATTTATCACTTTAACAGAGTGGGCCGCGTGAAGTTTGCCAGTGGCTGTCTTTGAGAGGGCCTCTCCAGAGCTGCCCCGGAGCAGAGCCCCATCCACTCGCAGCGGCGTGAGCAATGCGCAGGGCCCGCACGCGTGACCACGCTCACCGCACCCGACCGACGAACACTCAAGGCGGCTGTGAAACACGTGCGTGCGTACGATGCGCGTCGCGCTGATGCCCTCTCCTCCCCACCGCTCGGACCCCGCAGGCAGAGGAGAGGGCGAGGAGCGGCGAAGGAGGCGGGCGGCCGAGCGGCCGGGCAGTACGGGACGCCAATGGCTCGGGTATGCGACCTGCAGCTGGTGGGACTGGCCGTGAGCGTGTGCGGCTGGCTCCTCGCCTGCGTCACCACGGTGCTGCCTCACTGGCAGTCGCTCAACTCGGACATCGCGCCGCTCGCCGAGAACTTTCTCATCGGCCTCTGGGGCTCGTGCGTCGACCAAGGGGACAACATCCAGTGCCGGGACTACGAGTCGCTCATGGACCTCATCCCGACGCTGCAGATGGCGCGCATCCTCATGTGCGCCGCCGACGTACTCGGCCTGGTGGGCACGCTGCTCACGGCGCTCGGCATGAGGTGCACCACCTTCCTCGGCGGCGGCGGCAACACGACGCACAAGCGGGCCGCCTCGCTGGCCGGCGCGCTGGCCTTCCTCGTCGCCAGCGCCGCCGTGATGGCTCCCGTGTGCACGGTGGCCATGGACACAGTGGCGCTCTTCTTCGACAAGAACATCCCGGACTACGTGCCGCGCTGGGAGTTCGGAGAGGCGCTCTTCGCCGGCTGGATGGCCTCCTTCCTGCTGTTCGCGGGCGGCCTCACGCTCGTGGTGGCCGCGTGTCTGGCCAAGCGCCCGGGCCACGGGCCGCCCGCGCGGTCCGTGCGTCGCATCGCCCGGCCCCCGCCGGCCGCCGGGTCGCCTGAAGCGGGCGACGCCTTTAAGCAGCAGCGGCGCGTCGAGATGTCCGAATTACAGACAGTGCTGCAGCGAGACCTCGCGTCGCCCAGCACCTCCTTCAGTTCGTCGTCGTTGTCGTCGACGAGGAAAGCCAAAGTCAACTTCCTCGATGCGAACGCCCCCAACGGACGCGCCGTCAGCGTCTACGTGTGACGAAGCTCGTCCCGGCTGTCCCATCAGCACCCCCCCCCCCCCCATAGCAGGGCCTTCCCGTAAACGAGCTACGAGACTCGTTGAGGCTTTCCTGCAACAAACATAAATAAATAATGTCGTTATCATTGTTACTTTATTATTGTTATTACGTGCCGTTAATACGTTTGACTACAGCCGCAGCGCGTTTGGAGAGCTCTCAAAGTAATATGTTGAGTTAGGGGGCGTGAATGGGAGGGGGGCTGTGAGTGAACTCAAAGTGGATGTTCCGCGCCTCACTGAGCTCGCTGCGATCTCCTGGCCGCACGCGAACGCAGAGGTGGAAGCATCTAGAATTAAACCGCATCGCATTCCCAGTCTATTTAAGACAGAAATGAACACGCAAAGGGGAAAACAAATGTTAGCGGTCACATAATTTGGGGTGTCACAAGACACAAGACATCTGGACCAGGCAGTACAGCCTCTCGCCCTCCGGTCGTGCGTTGTGTCAACCCGCTGCTGCGTATGCCGAGGCTATTTGACCATACCTCACCACGCTCGGCAAGTACCGGTAGGTGATTGCGTTGTTGGCTGCGTACAGTGCAAAATAAGTTAAACACGCAGAGCATGAGAATTATGATTTATGGATTCCCCTGCGCTGTCCTCTACTGCTGACAACGTCGAGGGCGCGGTTCTTCGGGGCACGGCAGCGGTCACCACCCATCCGAGCGCACTCCAGGCTCAATGCCTGCTTAGCTTAGCTCCCGAGTGATTTGGTCATCGGGCAGTACGACTGTGTGACGTCACGCCATGCATGTGTGACGTGTCAATCCCGTGCGGGCAGGCCTGGTTATGTCACGTGCATGGCGCTTGCAATGCATTCGCCCTCAAATTAAGTCTCCGCATGCTGCGCGCACCTAATGATTGATAAATATGACGCCCCTTCGTTGATTAATTTGAATCAGCGGTGCCTACGTCACGTGGTAGAAAGACATTACCGATTGGTGGCACGTGTTGCGGATCGCTCGCTGGTAGTTTCTACCGGGACCAGGATGGTTAAGCCAGGGATTGATGTAATCCGGACCTGTCTGGGGCTGAGCTCTTGCAAATATCACACCACCACCACCACCGCGTCCCTCCGCACGGTTCGAGGTGGGCAGGGTCTGGGACGGTTTGGAGGTAGGACGGCCACATATATAATCCGTGAGATATCGAGTCCCGACGATAACGTTTCTTTGGCAAATCGAGACATTTCAGGACACCGTCGCATCACAGTTTGTACGGATGCTGTTCATGGTGGAACGTGAGCTTCGTGGAAGATCGAAACCAGGGATTGTCCGCGTTGGGTCTTTCACAAGGTGTTTTTTTGTTAGTTACTTTGAACCCTGGTCAGCTCTGCAATAGCAGAATACGCATACTATTGCAGAATTCATATCCTGCATAGAGTGCCCGGCCCTCACTGGTCTCGAGACTGGCCTTGACCTAAAGAGGGCCCTGGCCTTAGCCTCGCTTCGCCTTGGCAGCTTTTGTCCTCGACCGCGTTCCCAGCCTCATGGCCCCCGACATCGAGATTCAAGACTGAGCGATCCACACCACAGTCTCAGCGATGGTGCAATGAAGACAACGCATCGCAGGTGTGATGAGACTTCACGTTTGCAAATGTGTAGCAAAAGAGATGTCTGGAAAGTTGGTATCAGTCATTGAAGGCTTGCAACATAAGAATTCGTTCATGATGATCTAATATATCACCATCTACATAAATTCTCACCTCCAAAACTATGAATAAACGTCCCTTCTTGCGAAGGCAGACACGTGGATTCAAGCCAAATGTATGCTGGAGGGGTGACTTGGGCTAAAATTAAAGTACTTGGGTATAAGGTAACCAAAAGCTTTTGGAACATGTAGAGCTATTTGAGCATCATTATTTTCTTGATGGCATGGACGTTGATGGAAAAGGAAGGAGCTCCCATATCCATACTTTTCTTGAATATCAATTAAAAGAGGCGGGCGGCAGGGGGGGTTTGTTTAGCTGGACAAGTCAAGTAATAAGTTACCATAACCAATATTGACAGATAATTTAAGTGTAGCTTTCCCCAATTGGAACGACCGATGCGGGGGATCAGTTGAGTGGAGTCGCAATGAAGGGAAACTATCTGGGCTTTGTTGAAATTCTTGTTTGGAACGAGGTGAATTTATATTCAAGGACATCCTAATGGGTTATTTTCTACGGATGCACACTTAGCGAGGACCTCCAGCTGTTCTCAAGAATATATTTTTCAGGCGATAATATTTTTGTTCCCAAAGATAAACGAAAATTGTCACTACGGATTGTTAAACAATCTCTCGGACCAGATCCACCTGCAATGCACGTGATTTGATTTCGCCAGATCTTAGAACGCCAACCGTGCACAAGCAGGCCGTCAGCAGTAGAGCGCTCTTGCAGCAACATCCAAGGTTACACTCTATTTCTGAGCTCCCACATCGATGCCCCCCCCCCCCCGACTCCATCAGCCCCCATTGACCAGCGTGGTGAAGTATGGTAAAATAAAATAACCCCATGACCCACACGGCGCGGGATAGTTTTCATTCAGCAGTGGATTGACACAAGAGCTGCACGCAACACAATGTGACTATCTGCGCAATGAACCCGGAGAGCTGAGCTCAATTCCCGGACAAGGCTAACGTCAGTGGCGAGCCGATACTGGAACCGGTCCTTGGCGCTCATGTCACCAAAACCCGCACGACCCAGTGTGGTGAGGTATGGTCAAAACTTCTCCCATGAATTATACGCATTGGGGAGGCCTTCATCCCAACAGTGAGGTGACAAAGGGCACATTACATTAGTTGCTCTATGAAATGTTCAAATGTTGGTAGAGTGTTACTGGAATCACAACGCACACACATTCTCGGCCCAAAGGTAAACACTCATCTTCAGGGGCGAAGCCACAGGGGGGCTGGGGGGGGGGCTCAGCTCCCCCTGAATTTTTGGGAAAGTCGGTAATCGGGATAACCGGATATCCGGCTGCTGCAAAATGCAGGCTGCCACCTTGTGCTGCCCTGCAGGCTGCCACCTTGTGCTGCCCTGCAGGCTGCCACCTCGTGTGCTGCCCTGCAGGCTGCCACCTTGTGCTGCCCTGCAGGCTGCTTGAGCGGCAGCCTTTTGAACTTACCGAACTTATTAGCCACATCAGCGGCTCCGACCTATTAATAAACTCCGCGTTCAAATCCAATAAAAAATGTTTAATACATTTGTGGCGCCCATTGGAAAACATTACACTGGATATCTCAGAATATTCAAGTCAGCCCCCCCAAAGTCAAAATCCTGGCTCCGCCCCTGCTCATCTTACAGTAATGAACTTAAAGATGCCTCAGTATAACTATTTTACCGAGTAAAGCCCACTGAGCTATACGCTGTAGCTTTTTTTTTCAAAAGCGGCCTGGCCACAAATCATATCTCAACGAAGTGGCTTATCATGTGGAATTTTTCAGCAGCCATATACTCTAAACGCGTGATGTTGATTCTAAATGTGGAGGGGAAACCCCGGAGGAGCCGGTGACAAATCCACGTGACTACGGGGAGTGAGAGAGACACGCAAACTCCAAATATACAGCAGCAGGCGTCAGGGTCGAAATCGAGCCCACGACCTCCTGTATACCAGGCGTGAGAGTTAACATCTCATAGCCACCGTGGCGCCCAGCTCTCTGTGCTCGATAGTCCGAGTTATTTCCGTTTATTTACAACAGGGTAGCAGCTCCAACAACCCAGATATGTTTATTGTTTTAAAATACTGTACTGTGCTATGAAGGGGATTTGTGTGTTATGTTAAACTCTGATCCAAAACGGTGATTTTCAAAATACTTGAATCAATAAAAATAATGTTTCAAAGGACTATGGCGTACCAGTGTAGATTATTATTTGTCCAGAAATCTTTAGTAATTCATCCTCACCACCACCCGCCCTCCCCCTTCTGGGGCTGTCGCGCGTTCCACAGTCCAAAGCCGGAGGAGGAGATATGTCTGAGTCAGCCGAGGTCTCAACAAAACTGCACAGTGGTACCGTAATAAAGTCCAACACAATATCGGTGTCAACCAGGTCTCTACAAAACTGCACAGTGGTACTGTAATAAAGTCCAACACAATATCGGTGTCAACCAGGTCTCTGCAAAACTGCACAGTGGTAGCGTAATAAAGTCCAACACAATATCGGTGTCAGCCAGGTCTCTACAAAACTGCACAGTGGTACTGTAATAAAGTCCAACACAATATCGGTGTCAGCCAGGTCTCTGCAAAACTGCACAGTGGTACTGTAATAAAGTCCAACACAATATCGGTGTCAGCCAGGTCTCTGCAAAACTGCACAGTGGTACTGTAATAAAGTCCAACACAATATCGGTGTCAGCCAGGTCTCAACAAAACTGCACAGTGATATACCGTAATAAAGTCCAACAAAATCGGTGCCAGGTCTCTACAAACCCGAGCACACTGGTGGCAAAAACTGACCCCCTGTCCCGATGATTCACGGTTGAAATTCAACATTCTTCTTATTATTAACATGTTAATTAATGTAGCGGCCACTCCTGGCTGCAGGGGTCATATATGCCGACTTGCCGGATCCCTCAAAAACAGCAGCAACGGAACTGCTAGATTGTATATTGTTTCCGCCTGAGGACGACCGCTTGTGTTGCGATCGAAACGTCGTGATTTCTTTTATTTTTCTACTTACGTGACTTTACCGAAAGAACCAGAGAGTATGGCTTCCTGCAGTCACGAAAGCTTCGAATCAAGTTTGACTGTGAACCGGTTTAATTTTTTTGGGAGTCATCAGCACAGTATGGTCACCAATGTTCACCGCTGCAAAGTCTGCCTCTGGAAACCACACACGAGGAGGCCCTACGTCCACTGATTCCACAGACAAAGACACACGTGGCGATCATCACAGGAATCACTTCATTGTATATCATTTTCTGGGGTTCTGAATCGTTATTTATTTTATTAGCCTTCCCAGAAGAATGAGGGGAATTGTAAGAGAGTAGAGCATGTCGTGCTGTTAGTCAGCGCCGATTGAGGCCTGCACGGTGCGTGGGGATCTAAGACCCCCACATCCGACCTCCCTTAGTTCCCCCAGTCCTCACGTGCACAGACCACGCCAGGCAGTCATAGCAGGATGATGATTTGACCCAGGCTGATTTGACCCAGGCTGATTTGACCCAGGCTGATTTGACCCAGGCTGATTTGACCCAAGGATGCCCAGGTCCATTTCGATGTCACCGCTCTGAGACATGGTTGGAAATTGAACCCAGGTCACCGGGTTCTTAGCGCAACGCGACTCGCTGCTAAGTGACGGTGACTTCACAACAGTGCTGTGCCAGGCTAGGTGGACCCTGAGGCCACGTGAAGAGTCGAAGGCTCGCTGGCAGGTGCCATGGGTTGACTGAGATGACTAGGAGATGCACCAGCTGTGCCCCATACTGTGCCGACTTGCCGCATCCCTCAAAAACAAAGATCCCCCGTATTGGCTTAACATCCCGTTGGGGAAAGTGCTGTTCGCCAGCACCTATGAAGGCCGGAGCAGCACACGAGGGGGTGGGTGTCTAACACTACGCAAGGCCGCCTTCCCAGTGGCAATGTTAACACATCGCACCAGGTACGCATTTGAGGCTGAGTCGACCGAGGGGAGCCCCAGAACCGATTCAGATATTCGCCACTGTTATTGGCCGGGGTAGACATCCGTGCACACACGCGCCACAACACCTTTCCACCCCATGTCGGAAGCCTCGCGCATTGCAGTGAAGTCCACCAGGTGCGCCCCGCTGACAAGGGAGGGAGGGCGCGAGGATGGGGTCATTCCAAAGAGCTCGGGGTCAACCGAGCCGGGAGTTCTGGCCCCCATCCAGCTCCCGCGTCCCCCTTCATCCCTCCTCTCGAACGCCGCTGACGTTGCACACCGAGCGCGCGTGTGGCGTGACAAGTTCGAGGGAGTAGTAAATGAAGATGAAGATGTCCTTTCAGCATTCCTGCGACCGTCCTCTGGCCGCGACCGCTCGGCTCGGAACAATGGATTCATATCCCCCAAATTAAAAAAAAATGTGGGCAATCCGAGGAGAGGTTGGGTCGTTCCGCCTGAATGACGGATCTCCTTACAGCGCCTCGTTTCATTTCCTGGTAAATGTTCTCATTATCTTGTCGTCCGTAGACAACTGTGAAATCTGAGGTTGCGCTGCCGATAGCATCTGGGTCCACCCCCCCCGCCGCCTTCCCCTCTTCCTCACCCCCCACCGCCCTCCCTCCCAACTTGATCCGTGTGAGTCCCATTCATGCAGAGGGCGAGGGACAAACGTGCACACCGCTTAGGGACGCACGCAGGGAGGCCCGAGGTCGTAGTCAAGGCACCAGCGGCCTTCCATGGACCGCCGGTCGCGACGCACGGCCCTCGGCGGGTGGCCGCCCTCGAGCCCGAGACAGTCTCGTGACGCACTTCAAGCGGCCGTGTTGTTAGTCCCATTGGCGTGTGTGAGTGTGTGTGAGTGTGTGTGAGTGAGATCAGTGTTGTTAGTCCCATTGGCGGTTGTGAGTGTGTGTGAGTGTGTGTGAGTGAGATCAGTGTTGTTAGTCCCATTGGCGTGTGTGAGTGTGAATGTGTGTGAGTGTGTGTGAGTGTGTGCGAGTGAGATCAGTGTTGTTAGTCCCATTGGCGTGTGTGAGTGTGAATGTGTGTGAGTGTGTGTGAGTGTGTGTGAGTGAGATCAGTGTTGTTAGTCCCATTGGCGTGTGTGAGTGTGAATGTGTGTGAATGTGTGTGAGTGTGTGTGAGTGAGATCAGTGTTGTTAGTCCCATTGGCGTGCGTGAGTGTGAATGTGTGTGAGGGAGATCACTGTTGTTAGTCCCATTGGCGTGTGTGAGTGTGTGTGAGTGTGTGTGAGTGAGATCAGTGTTGTTAGTCCCATTGGCGTGTGTGAGTGTGAATGTGTGTGAGTGTGTGTGAGTGAGATCAGTGTTGTTAGTCCCATTGGCGTGTGTGAGTGTGTGTGAGTGTGTGTGAGTGAGATCAGTGTTGTTAGTCCCATTGGCGTGTGTGAGTGTGAATGTGTGTGAGTGAGATCACTGTTGTTAGTCCCATTGGCGTGTGTGAGTGTGAATGTGTGTGAGTGTGTGTGAGTGAGATCAGTGTTGTTAGTCCCATTGGCGTGTGTGAGTGTGAATGTGTGTGAGTGAGATCAGTGTTGTTAGTCCCATTGGCGTGTGAATGTGTGTGAATGTGTGTGAGTGTGTGTGAGTGAGATCACTGTTGTTAGTCCCATTGGCGTGTGTGTGTGTGAGTGTGTGTGAGTGTGTGTGAGTGAGATCAGTGTTGTTAGTCCCATTGGCGTGTGTGAGTGTGAATGTGTGAGTGTGTGTGAGTGTGTGTGAGTGAGATCAGTGTTGTTAGTCCCATTGGCGTGTGTGAGTGTGAATGTGTGTGAGTGTGTGTGAGTGTGTGTGAGTGTGTGTGAGTGAGATCAGTGTTGTTAGTCCCATTGGCGTGTGAATATGTGTGAATGTGTGTGAGTGTGTGTGAGTGAGATCAGTGTTGTTAGTCTCATTGGCGTGTGAATGTGTGTGAGTGTGTGTGAGTGTGTGTGAGTGAGATCAGTGTTGTTAGTCCCATTGGCGTGTGTGAGTGTGAATGTGTGTGAGTGTGTGTGAGTGTGTGTGAGTGAGATCAGTGTTGTTAGTCCCATTGGCGTGTGTGAGTGGGAATGTGTGTGAGTGTGTGTGAGTGAGATCAGTGTTGTAAGTCCCATTGGCGTGTGAATATGTGTGAATGTGTGTGAGTGTGTGTGAGTGAGATCAGTGTTGTTAGTCCCATTGGCGTGTGAATATGTGTGAATGTGTGTGAGTGTGTGTGAGTGAGATCACTGTTGTTAGTCCCATTGGCGTGTGTGAGTGTGAATGTGTGTGAGTGTGTGTGAGTGAGATCAGTGTTGTTAGTCCCATTGGCGTGTGAATATGTGTGAGTGTGTGTGAGTGTGTGTGAGTGA